GGTCTGGCTTTTGAGTGGAACTAATGAAATAAGGAGAAATGTGCACTGTTTTGAAAAAGTAAGAGCCACTTGAATTGAAAAAAAAATAGTTGGATTGTTGTGAAAAATATTCCATGATAAGTGATGGCTCTTGATGTAAGTATGCTTAAAGAAGAATGGAGTTAATATATAGTGATATGAAGGTGGAGTTATGGTTTGACATAAGTGTGGGGTTTTAAATGTTAAAGTGTGTGTATTAAAGTGCTTAGGGAGGTGTAGTCACTCTTATATCTAAATGTATCCTACCCGTCCGGCAACCTACGTTACAACCAAATGAAGTCCTACTTGATCCTAGACTGAATGAGCTCGATTAATAGAGTATTACACTACGGGCAAGCCTATGGTGCGTCTTTTGTGGCATATGAATGTTATTTCTGAGAGTGAGTGAATTCTTTCTATCTTGAGTTCCTAAGTATTTTTAAATTTTATTGTGTGGAACTACTCTCGTTTGTTGTGTGAGGGCACTTGATTCATGAAGGAAAGGTAATGTCAGTGACCTCTACGTTAGAGTAAGTGGGTGAGTTGTGAATAATGCACGGTACTTGTGAGTCAAATCTTGAGGTGAAGATGTTACGCTTTTGTGCTTAGTCTATTTTAAATATTCTTAGTGTGATGAGTTAGGAGAATTGTTTAAAAAGGTCGTGTCTATATAAAGTGTAGTTTGATTGCTCGAGAACGAGCAATGGTTTGAGTGTGGGGTGTTCATGATAGGCTATAATTACGTATTTTAGTCGATTATTACATTCCAATTCACTGCACTTCAGTTGAGTTTGAGCTTTAATCGCTAGTGTTTTGCACTAATTGTGTATGCCTTGTAGGAGTGATTCCGAGCTATGTAGATGTTATGGAATAAATTCAAGTGATTTGGAGCTTTGAAGTCTGAGTAAAAGCCCAAGGAATTAAGCCGGGATCGTGTTCGGGATCAACGGATGATAGAGCAACGAAACAAAGAATCGAGTAGGCATATTGCGCACTGTCTAGTAAAATACACATAACTTTTTGCTCAGACTCCATTTGGGCTCCACAATATATGGTTGGAAAGCTAATTTAAAGGGCTACAACTTTTATGTTTTACGTTTTACCAAATTCCAAACAGTCGGCGATCAGGTCCGCGGTCGAATCCGCGGCTGCGGACAGAACACTATGCAAAATCCGCGGTCAGGTCCGCGGTTGAATCCGCGGCCGCGGACGTCCTGACCTGGAAAAGTATCCTTTTTAGCGTAGGAGAAGGTATAATTGTTTGGGCCCGGCCCTACTTGGTATATATACATGGAAAAAATGGATTTTGAGCACCTTTGACAGACTTTTGACATAATTTAGACCTAAGAAGGCTAAGGAGACCGGGGATTCGACCTAAGGAGGCAAGAACACACTAAGAGCAAGGCGGAGAATTCTTCTACAAGTTTCTAACTCCCTTCTTCCTATTTCCATTATCAGTTATGAATTCTATATTTTATTTTTGCATACTATTATGCATAGCTAATTTGTTATCAAGGGTTTTGATGGAACCTTTTGGAGGATAAATTCTTGTTATGTTTTTATATAATTGAGCCGTTGGATTTCTCTACTTGTTCAACTACGTGTTTGTTGTTGTTGATTGAATGGCCATCAATTGACTGTGCCTATTTAATGTGTACTGCTCGAGAGAGAGTACATATTTAGGTAGTTGTTGAATAACATCACTCCTAACGTATGTGAGAGATCAACACAGAGCGTTTAAAGGCGGGATTAGAGATAACGAAACCTTGGTGCGATCATAGTGAGCGGTGAATTAGTGCTAGCTAGTGTAGTTCGAGAGAATACATCTAGTAAATTATTGTAGTTGCTCGAGAGAGAATTACGGCACCTAAAGTGCTCATGATCAGTAGAGAATATATAGGCGAAATTGTAGGGAACATAGCGGGAACAATTCCAACATTTGGGGAAATCATAACTCTAAACCTCCTAATCTTTTCTCCAACCCTTAGTATCCCTAGTTTTAATTTACTGCTTTAGTTTCTTAGTTAATTAGTTAGATATAAGAATCTTAATATTATAACTTAAGAATTATTCGAGCTTGTCTTCTTAGTGATATTAAACAGATATAGCTAAGCCTTAGTTCTGTGTGGGATTCGATCCTGAACTTTTAGACCGGATTATATTTGCAGTGACCACTTATCCTTTTTAGGACTAGAGTTGGGCGTGATAAGTTTACCTTAGGGTTTGACATGATTTGGTGACTTGGTTGTTGTTTATGGATTTGACTGCTGTTTAATTGCTTGAATTTATTGGAAGAGCTTTAATATTAGTTGTGATTTTATTCTTTATAGTGTTTAATCGAAAGAGAAACATCTTATTGAATTTTATTGTAGTGTATGCCTTTGTTTATTTTGGTGATCCTTTAAAGTAATCGAGATAGCTTTTTGAGTTACCGTTTAAATTAAGATTGAGAAATGCGAGAAGTTTTTCTTAGATCATTCCTATCAATAGATTTTTGTGAGTTTCACCGCACTTCACATTAGTTTATTTGAAATATTTATATTTAATTGAGAGAGGAGTCTAAATCGGAAGTATAAGCTAATCACCTATTGAATTCGTGAAAATCGATAGAACCTCAAGAGTGAAATAAAACAGTGTCATATTCAGGATAGCAGTCATCCACCTATCATGTCAAAACCCTTTTCTTCTTCTTGATAATAATCCATTGATTACTCTCTAGCTCTTTGTGATTAATTGTTGATTGTTTTAATTTTAATAGTTAATTTTAGTTCATAATCATTCAACCAAAGTGTTAATCATCCTGAATAGCGTTAAACCAGAAATTACTTGAATATTATTTAGATCCAATCCATGTGGAAACGATAATTAAACTATACGATCTTCGACTAGGTAACATCAATTTTGTGTTGTGTTTTGCGCTCGCCAAATTTTGGCGCCGTTGCGGGAATTGGCAATCAAAAGTGTGCAGAAAAATTTTTGGTGCTAATTTAGGAACCTATTTTATTTTCTTGTATTCACGTTTTTCTCACTTGTGTGCAGGTAACAAGTCTAATTTCTCTGGTGTATGACTCGATCTTCTTCAAAAGAAGTGATTCCACACGATCCAGAGGTGGAAAAACGTCTGCGACAGTTGAGGAAAGAGAAAGATCTCACCGAAAATGTCTTGGGGCGATCTTCAACCCAGGAACACATTGCTAAGAATAGTGATGATGGAGCAGACTTAGCTGCAAGAGAGACAGCACAAAAGAGAGAAGAAGCTGCATAGATAGCAGCTGAAGGAGCCCTTAGAGATGCTGATGAAACTCTCGATGAAGACAGGGGTCAAAGATTCCATCTAAAATGACCTCTGGTTAAAGAGTAGTTTAAAGATATGGCTCCCAGTCCTGGGAGAGCATTAGGTGACTATGCCAGCCAATCTACAATCAGGGACTGTCAAGTGTCAGACCTCCGCTCGTAGTAGCAAATAATTTTAAGTTGAAGCAAGGCTTGCTTCAAACCATCCAGAACAACTATGTCTTTAGAGAGAAGGCGAATAAAGATCCTAACACCCACTTGATGGACTTTGAGGAAATCATGAATACCTTTCAATACAATGGAGTATTAAAAGATGCAGTCTACTTAAGAGCATTCCCTTTTCACTGAAGGATGACGCGAAGCACTGGCTTCGAGGCTTACCAACTGGGTTGATTAGGACATGGGAAGATATGACGAAAAAGTTTATGGACAAGTACTTCTCAACTGCAAAAATAGTAAAATTCATAAGGGAAATCCACAACTTCTACCAGAAGTACATTGAAACGGTCTGAGAAAGTGTTAGTATAATCGACTCGAATTGTGGATGCAACTCCATGACTTTTGGGATGGACTGACACTTTCCTCACGGCGAACTCTGAGTACTGCAGTTGGAGGTCCTTTAATCAAGAAAACTCCTGAGGAAATTGTTGTGATTCTTGATGAGCCATCTGAAGATGCTAACCAATGGTCCACTGAGAGTAACGATAGAAGAAAATCAGCTGGGGTTCACCAGGTGGACTCTAACATATCAGTGCAAGCCCAAGTAGATATTATAGCCAAAGAGATAAAAAAGTTGATAGCCAAGGTCCAAAGCCAGCCATCATCAGTTTGTGACTTTTGTGGAATGGATCATCCAACGCATGAGTGTCAGGCCTCAGCTGCAGATAAATTGGTAAATGTTGTGGGAAGCATTGACCGAGGCAACCACCAAAGTGGTAATAATTTTAACTCCATGGGACAGAGGCACTCAGATTTTTCGTGGAGTTCACCAAATAGTAGTCTGAACTCATGGCAGCAAATAATTCGAGATCTCAGGGACAAGGAACAACAGGATTTCAAAATCAGAAGGCTGGTATTGCTGCCTCTAATTCAATCAGAACCCTTGTCCGTTTTGACAATGTTTTTGTAATCATGAAACACTATATTTAATGATCATTTTGATTAAAGTATTGCATTTGCTTTTTTCCTAAAGAATGCCTCAACTCTAATGTCATATATAGTTCCTTGAGATTTTTACAAAGTTAATTATGTCGTTGTTTGCTTCTCATGTGATAAAGAATTCAAGCCTTGATGATACATTATTTGCATTAAGTTTAGTTTGAATATTTTGAAACACAAAAATATATGTATACATACATAACCAAATACGGCAATAGTCCAAGCAAAAGGGACTCAAAAAAGTTAACCTAACCTCAATCACACATTCATATCCTCTTCCTACCCCATCTAGGATGAGATAAGATTACTGAGGTGCTTACACGTGGCACCTCTATTGTGGTGACTTAAATTTAGAATGGCTTAGCTCCAAATATAATTTTCCAACCTTTCATGTGTGGATATTAAGATTTGTATAATGTATCAAGAACCACATAATCCAATGGTTAGCTTTATTCCAAGATGAGAGAGTTGTTGATTTTTGTCCGTTAGATATGGGAAATATGTGAAACCTTATCATTATATATAGAGTGGTGGGCAACTATGCAATGACCATATTGGAAGTTTAAAGGGAAAAAAAGGAAAAGGGAGAAAGAGAAATCTTTCTGTCTTAAGTGTAATTAGCAATGGCTTCCTCAGTTCTTTCCTCTGCAGCAGTTGCCACTCGCAGCAATGTTGCTCAAGCTAACATGGTTGCACCTTTCACTGGCCTTAAGTCAGCTGCCTCATTCCCTGTTTCAAGGAAGCAAAACCTTGACATCACTTCCATTGCCAGCAACGGCGGAAGAGTGCAATGCATGCAGGTAACTTATATACACTGACAGTACAAAAACATTTTCATACAATTAGTGTATCTTAACCTGTCGTAACTAAAAAATCTTTTTGGTGGAGTATAGGTGTGGCCACCAATTAACAAGAAGAAGTACGAGACTCTCTCATACCTGCCTGATTTGAGCCAGGAGCAATTGCTTAGGGAAGTTGAGTACCTTTTGAAAAATGGATGGGTTCCTTGCTTGGAATTCGAGACTGAGGTCAATATCTGTTCTAAATTTTTCATACTCCCTCTATTTTATGCGATATTTTTCTCCTTTCTATTTGTTCCAAATTTTTATATTTTAAAATTTAAACTTTAATGCGTTATTTCGTATGTGCAGCACGGATTTGTCTACCGTGAAAACAACAAGTCACCAGGATACTATGATGGCAGGTCAATAGCAGATCCACAATTATTTAGTTAAATCATGAATATATGCGTGCAAATCTTGAAAAGCAATACAAAATTCATGTTTTATAAGAACAAAATCTTAAATATTAAATCCTGAATCCGGTTGTGATGCAGATACTGGACCATGTGGAAGCTACCTATGTTCGGATGCACTGATGCCGCCCAAGTGTTGGCTGAGGTGGAAGAGGCGAAGAAGGCATACCCACAAGCCTGGATCCGTATTATTGGATTCGACAACGTGCGTCAAGTGCAGTGCATCAGTTTCATTGCCTACAAGCCAGAAGGCTACTAAGTTTCATATTAGGACAACTTACCCTATTGTCTGACTTTAGGGGCAGTTTGTTTGAAATGTTACTTAGCTTCTTTTTTTTTTATTCTTCCCACAAAAACTGTTTATGTTTCCTGCTTTCTATTCGGTGTATGTTTTTGGATTCCTACCAAGTTATGAGACCTAATAATTATGATTTGGTGCTTTGTTTGTAAATTTTGTTGTTTCACATTCTTGTGGCGTATATGAGTTTTATTTTAGATAATATCTGCAATCCTAAATGCAAATGGTCCACACACGCACCATCTCCAACCACTTTCAGATGATGAAAATTTTCAAGATGCTCAATAGCTACATTTTTTATATACATTAAGTGTCTAATAGATGGCGGAAAAAAGTGTCTAATAAAAAAGTGCCTTTAAGGGTAATATCTCCTATCCTAAATGCAAATGGTCCATACAACCCCCAACCACTTGAGATTATGAAAGTTATTCCACCATTCCTTTAGTTTCCAAAAAAAAAAAAAAACATTGAGTCTTTTAAGTATTTCCTTTTCAACGAGGATTTAAGTAACATACATTGATAATTAAATAAATTTGTTGCACAGTTACTGTAATCTAACTTATTATAACATGTCATTTAACATTTGCTCTAGGTAACAAATTTGGAACTGTCTCGAGGCAATATCTTAAACTATTGAAATATCTCAAACTTTTCTTGGCCACAGTTCTAGAAATTGCAGATAAAAAGGATAAGATTTCAATATTAGGAGGGAAATTTAGAACAAATAGCCCCAAAAAAAACTACAAACTAGTCAAAGGACCAACTATTCATAAAAGAGAAATGAATTAAAGAAATCAGTGAATGAAATAAGGCGATAAAAAAAAATGTTTACCTATAAAACGGCACAATTGAATTCGTTGCGTGGTTTGTAGACAAGCAAACTAATTTGATCCAAAATAATAAATAAATTAAATTATAAATAAGACTTAGCGTCAAAGATATGGCAAGCCTGGCTCCGGGACCAATGCTTCCTAGGACACCAGTAAGGGCAATATCAAACAGAAAGTAAAGTTGTATTATTTAGCTTGAGAATAAAGTATAGTATAAGTTTTGCTAGAGATTTCGTATCCTACAATGGTTGTTGAAGCCACTATTTATAGCTATACCTAGGGAACAAGATCCTAGGATCAAGCCCCTCTTAAATGACAATAAACGGGGCCATTGATGAAGGTGTAACAGCATGCCATGAATGCCAAAATTCTCTACAATGGTTGTCTATTTAATATTAAGGAATATTCTTCACTAAATGCCATCTGGTGACAAACATTCGTTTTGCTACCGTTGATTATGCTCCCTTCGGGATCTATCCAACACCAACTGCAGTTGTTGCCCCCGGTCTCGGTTCTTACTCGATTCATCTTCCGTATGTCTCCGGTTTCACGTGTCATGCAATTATTCGATCACTTAATATAAACCAATTTTACCCTATACAGATAGTCCCCCTGCTTTCCGGTGGCACATCTCTGTGTCATCAGGAAGTTGGTAAAGATTCCTTTCTTGGCAGAAAATTTTCTGATCCCCTCTGAACAGTCTCTGACGCTTGATAAGACGCACGTCTACTCACATTTAATACCCGAACACGTGTTGCCCCACGATTCAGCAGTATTTTCACCAGTTCTCGAGGTAATCATGACCACGATTTTAGCCATCTATATCTTTACTTATATGTACCATTTTACCTCTTTCACTTCTAACAACTTCATAAGCTCTTTTATCATCTTTGCACTTAACTTACTTCTACTTTCATCTCTCTCTGATCTTCTTCAAAAGGCTCTATCATCTTTTTACCATGATGGAGCTTTCACTAAATCTTTTAAGAACTCATGTCTTCTATTCGGTAGAGACCCGAAGAGAGGCAAAGATAAAGAGGTTGATGTTGATGATGATCTCCCCATGGCAAGCACCATCATACCTAAACACCTGAGTACCGCCAACGACTTCCAAGAGAAGTTCCCCTCTGCAAACCCTCGAACTTGGGCAGTTAGTAGGTATCTTTTTCTATTGTCCCTTCCAGTATTCCTAATGTTAAGAAGGATTGTGACTGCCATGACCTATATATCATCGCTCCTAACCTGGTGCAGCGGGTTACTTTCACCAAGAATGGTTTTATGTATGTTTATATGTACCCCTTCACTCTGGGCCCGTTTTCATTGAGCGGGGGACTTGACCCCTTGATCTTGAAATTCTGCCACAGATATCAGGTCTGCTTGGCACAAGTAGGTCCTTCTGTGTGACGAACGGTGGCTAGTCTGCACCGGTTGTGCTTGGAGATGGGGGAGACCCTAACCCTAGCACATATGATGAACCTCTACTCCCCCAAAATCTTTCGTAGGGGAGTGATAAATTTCAGCAAGCGTGGCCACTATGCTTTGCTTACCAGCATGGATGATAACAATGACCGTGGGTGGATGGAGCGGTTTGTCGTTGTAGCTACCAGGGATATCATCCCGGACACAACTCCCTCTTTTCCCGAATCATGGAGTCGTTCACGTAAGTTTATTAGCTATCTCTTTCTTCGTAAAAGGTTGTTCCACGTCATTGCTAACCATTTTGCTTCCGCTATTTCAGCTACTCGGTGGACACCATTAAGAGTTGAAGTCCTGGACCAATGGGTTCAAAGATTTTGGACATTACTATACCAGATACCCATCGGTGGAAGGAGTTGGCCCCGAAATACGGGTGGAAGCCCAAGAACCACGGAAAGTTGATTCTTTCTATTTTCCGCCTCTGCATATACATAAGGAAACTTTGCTAACCATATCTTTTTGTTAAATTCAGGACTCCCGCAAGGTTCTGTTACCTGCCCCAAGGTTGAGGTTTTAACCGATCTTGCAGAGGCTGTGAGGTTGCTGTAGGAGGCTCTTACTCAGAGCAGTGCCTTGGGATCTGACTCCGGTGCAGGTGCTTCCTCCCGGAGTCCCCTGCTAGAGAACAAGCAACCAAAAAGGCGATGTTCTTCCTCGACTAGAAATAAAAATATAAAATAAAAAAGGCCACACCCGAGCCGGCCACAGCCACTATGGTCATTGATGATGACGGGGAAGCTAATGATGAAGAGGCCACTTTTCAACAGAGACAACGATCTTCATCAGCTCAACAAATGCTCAATCTGGAGAGCTTAGAACCCAAATCGAGGGCGAGGTCCGAGTGCTTTCGGGAGAAATGGATTTAGTAGAGAATGTCGATTCTCCCTTTCCGTTCACAGTTGTTACTTTCGGTCCTATGAGGACGAATACCTGGCCTCTTCTGCCTTTGGTTGATGATCAACCAATAATCAGCACTGCCTCTACCACAGCTGCTTCTCAACCTATAACACCATAAGCTTCATCTCCCTCCACACCAGTTGTGCCTTCATCACCAACAACTACTGCATCTCCTCCACCGGTTGTAGGCGCCATAGAAGAAGACGTCTCCCCTTCCTAGTCCCCTCACCACGGGAATTTGGGGCACAACTACTTAACCCCTTCTCCAGATTCCCGAGGGAGGAGGAGCGTCACTCTCTCGGTTTCACATGAGTGCCATCTGATGTTCAGGCCGGTGGAGCTTGCCAACTATCTGAAGCCGCTGGCTTCGGAAAAAGATAAAGAAGAAAATACACTCTCTTTCAGGGGAGTGTTTGTTGAATAATGTTATGCACAATGCGGCACCATACTTGTTCTCTCACTGTTTGTTTTTATTCGTCTGTTATAACAGGATTTCTGACTTAGATACACGTTTTGCAGGCCAATTTCCTCGCTTCCAAAGGCCTTCCGCAATTGATACTTGATAAAGAAGGATTCATGTCCGAGCGAGATTAGCTGTTGGCCGAGAGGAATCAACTCGCTGCACGCCTCATGGTGCTAAAGGAAAAGGCTTCCGAAGCGGCCGCGCTTGAGGCCCGGTTGTAGCAAAGTGAGCAGGAGGCGATGGCTCATAGTCAAGAAGACACTCAGCTACATGCTCAACTTCAAGATGCTAAGGCTGGGTGGGCTGAGTCACGAGGCACTGCTCTTGCTGCTACCGAGCGTGAGTCTGCCTCCATTTAACGAACAAATAACTTGGAGGCAGCCTTGAACTCCAAAGCCGAAGAGGTTGTTGCTACTGAGGAGAAGCGGGGTCGGATGGAAGATAGTTATAAGAAGATCATGATCAAAACAGGGTTCATATAACAACAATCTTTGATTTCGATCTTAGCCTCGGTGCCATGAGATCCGAGTGGGATGGCCTTGTGGTCGAGGTTGACATGCTCAAGGCAAAGCTCCAGCACCAAGGGGATTCCCTCATCTTTGAAAATACATACTCTATGTACCATATGAGAAGGAAAACCTTGGAAAATGCCAAAGCGGGCGTTATTGATATTGATGATGAAATTACCAAGGCCCGAGCGCTGGAGTTAACTGCTCGAGAACGTCTTCCAGCTCAGCCTGACATAACTGATTCTTCTAGTACCGACACTGAGTGTTCAGGGACCGAGGAGGAACTTGAAGAGGATACTGATGAGGGCCAAGATCCTGCACCGGCGGCAACTCAGCCTAATTCTCCTTGGGGCGTAGATGCCTCTCTTCCCCCGAGTTCCGGTGGCGAAGAAGTTTAGTTTTTTGCATTTTTCTTTTGCTGTTTTCCCTTTGTATCTTTGCACTTATTCCATTTGCCATGTTTGATAAATAAAAAGGACTTATTGATTAAGCATTGCACAAAGTTCATTTTTTTGCGTCGAATTAGATAAGGCTTCGGGTGTGTTTTCTTCCGATATCTTTTGGGTTCCGGGCATAAAATCTTCCGGAACCAACCCTTTACTATGAGGGTTTCATAAGAAAGGGCCCTTTTATGCTTACGATGCTCTTGAGAAGACGTCTCTTGTTCATTCCGGCACTAGCATTTGAAGTTTTTAGTCAACTTTCAAATAATAAAATCAATTCACCTCTGAACAAGAAATAAGATAAAAACAAAAGGACTTTATTTATTCCTTCCATCTTTAAAAGTACATAAGCATTCGATTGCTAAAAAAATTGCCAATACATGTAGCTAATTAGTACAACTTGTTTCTACGGGGCTGGCCGTGCATTCCCCGGTCCCGATGAGACATTATTGTTCCAGATCTCGTAGTCCCCATTTTTGCGGCAATCATGTTGTCGTATTCTCATACTATTCCTCCTCCCCCCCCCTACTGTTTGAAGACGAAGTATGCGAATTAGAACATTGGAAGTCTTGCTCCTTTGAAGAAAAACACTTGTGAGCGATTGGATAATCTTTGGTCCGATGGCAAGCTTCGTTTCTTGTTAGGAACTCTGCCATCGAGCCAAAGACTATCTAACTATCCCATAATGGCCTGTTGTTTCAGTGCCTTGACATTTAAAGGTCTTATCATTGCTGATGATGCTCCCTTCGTAATATTCTTTCCATTGCTACCTCGTTATAAACCTTGCCAGAAAAACCTGATTGAGACTAAAACTGGCCGAAGGGAAAAAGAGTGCAGCACATACTTTCAGTATCAGTAGGATCCATCAGCAGTAATACCTTTTGAGGTGAGTTATGTTCTAGTTTCTTGGCAATTTGACTCCATCTTGCTTCTCCAGTTCGTATGATCCCTTCCTGGTGACAGCTGAAACCCGATAGGGACCTTCCTACGTCGGACCCAGCTTTCCAACGTTGATCTTCCGAGTGTTATGAGTCGCTTTACTCAAAACCAAGTTTCCTACTTTTGATATTGGCCCTCCGGTTATAGTATCTTTCTATCCTTTATTTCTGAGCCACCATTCTTATATGCGCCAAGTCCCTGCGATCATCAAGAAATTCCAGCTTGACCAGCAATGCCTCATTATTTGCTTTTTCATCCGTTCGGAAGTACTATAAGGTCAGTTCTCCTACTTCCACCAGGATTAGAGATTCTGCACCGTATACGAGAGATAAGAATGTCTCTCCCATGCTTGATTTCGTCGTCATCTAGTCGCCTATAGCATACTTGGTAACTCTTCGGGCCACTTGCCTTTGGCTGCTTCCAACCTCTTTTTGAGGTTTTGAATAATCACCTTATTGTTTGATTCCACCTGCCTATTATTGCTCGGATGGTATACTGAAGATGTAATCCTCTTGATCTTCATGTCTTCAAGAAATTTTGACTTTGGAGCCTATGAACTGTGGCCCATTATCACAGGCAATCTCCTTCGTTATTTCGAACCGGCAAATTATGTTTTCCTACAGGAATTCGACCACTTTGCGCTCACCGATCTTTTTGGTAAGGACTTGTTTTAACCCATTTAGTGAAGTACTCGGTTAAAATTAAAAGAAATATTACCTTCCCGGTATCCGGTGGCAGCAGCCCAACTATATCCAAGTCCCATTTCATGAATTGCCATGGGGATAGTACCGAATGCAAGAGTTCTGCCGGTTGGTGCACCAACTGTGCATGGCACTGACACTTGTCGCATTTCTGAACAAATGCCTTCGCGTCTTGTTCTATTTGGGGCCATAATATCCTGCCCTAACCAGTTTTAGCACCAACGAATCTGCATCGGAATAGTTCCTGCAAATTCCTTCATAAACCTCTCTCATGACGAGTATGCCTCCGATGCTACTAAGCATCGGGCCAACGGGCCTTGGAATAACCTTCTATATAACTATCCACCCCAGAGGTTGTAGTGAGCCGCTTTGGTACATAGTGCCTGGGATGCCTTCGGGTCTTCGGGCAGCTTGCCATGCTGAACGTAATCAATGAAATCATTCCTCCAGCCCCAGACTAGGTTGGTTGTACTAACTTCACAATAGCCGTCCACATCCATTACCGAATGCATAAGTTGAACGACAGTACTAGAATCTGATCCTTTCATCTTCGTGAATGACCCCAAATTGTCCAATGCATTTGCTTTTGCATTTTTTCTCTCGGGATGTGGGTGATCGACCACTCCCGGAACCGTGTGAGCAAGGTTTGAACTTTAATCATATATTGTTGCATGCGTTCCTCCTTTGTGTCAAAGATACCATATACTTGGTTTACTACCAGATGTGAATCAAATTTGATCTCTATGACCTCGAAGCCAAGTCCCCGGGCTAGTTCGAATCCTGCAATCAATGCCTCATACTCGGCTTCATTGTTTAAAGGAACAGTTTTTTATGGCCTGCCTCAGGGTTTCCCCCGAAGACGTGATTAGGACCACCCCGAGCCCGGACCCTTTCACATTGGAATCTTCGTCCGTGAACAAGTCCAAACTCCTGATGTCATTTTCGACACCATCACCACTTCTTTTATAGCCAAAGGTGCTAACCCGGGACTGAAATCAGCCACAAAGTCGGCCAAAACTTATGATTTGATCGCAGTCTAGGCTTATATCTAATATCAAATTCACTAATTCCAACTCCCCATTTGGCCAGCCGACCCAACAACTTAGGTTAGTGAAGGACATTCCGTAGGGGAAGGTTGTCACAACGCCTATCGGGTGACATTGAAAATAAGGCCTAAGCTTTCGAGAGACGACTACAAGAGCTAAGGCCAGTTTTTTAAGGTGCGGATAACGAGTTTCTGCTCCTGACAAAATTTTGATAACATAATAGACAGGAGATTGCGTACCTCCGTCCTCCCGAACTAGAACGGCGCTTACCGCTACCTCTAAGACCTACCTCCGATTTTGATAGTAGCGGAGGGCTTGGTAGATAGCGTTTCAGGTATTTTAAGGCACATTGGCATTCTGGAGTCCATTCGAAATTGTTCTTCTTCTTCTTCTTCTTCTTCTTCTTCTTCTTCAGGAGTGAGAAGAAATGATGGCATTTTTCCGAAGATCGAGAGATGAGCCTGCTTAGAGCGGTCAATCTTTTAGTTAGCCTTTGGACTTCTTTCACGCTTGTCAGCTGGTCTGGGATGTCCTCGATGGCTTTGATCTTATCAGGATTTACCTCGATACCCCTTTATGAAACCAAGAAACCCAAGAACTTACCAGAGCTAACCTCGACGCGCATTTTTCGGGGTTGAGTTTCATGTTGTGCTTCCTCAGGATATCGAAGGTTTGCTGGAGGTGTTTTAAATGGTCACCTGCATTCAAAGACTTGATCAACATGTCATATATGTATACTTCCATTATTTTACCTATTTTTTTCTCGAACATCTTGTTCACGAGCCTCCGATAAGTGGCTCCGGCATTTTTAAGCCCGAAGGGCATCACATTATAACATTATATGCCAATGTTCGTTATAAATGAATTCTTTTCCTCATCCTTCGGGTTCATCTTAATTTGATTTTACCCGGAATAGGCATCGAGGAAACTCATTAACTCGTGCCCGGTCATTGCATCAATTATTTGATCGATGTTCGGCAGTGGAAACGAGTCTTTTGGGCACGCCTTATTCAAGTCTTTATAATCTACGCACATTCGAAATTTTTTAATCATTTCTGGAAATACAACTACATTAGCTAGTCAACCGGGATACTTTACCTCCCGGATTGAACCGATGTCAAGTAGCCGAGTTACCTCTTCTTTAACAAACCTGTTTCTGACCTCGACTATAGGGCGCTTCTTCTGCCTTACCAGTGGGATGCTTGGGTCCAGACTTAGCTTGTGCACGGCCACTTCTAGTGGAATACCTGTCATATCCGCGTGCGACCATGCCAAACAATCAACGTTAGTTTTAAGGAAATTAATAAATCCTGACCTGAGCTCGGGGTTGAGTCATGTCCCCAAGTGAAAATTTCTCTCCAGGAATTCCTCGAACAAAGCCACTTGTTCAAGTTCTTCTGCCATGGACTTGGTCGCATCTTTCTCTCCCGGTACCAGAAAGTATCTCGGTACCTGGTGGGATTCCGACGACTCCTCTCCTTTATCATCTTTGCTTGGCTCGGGAGTAGGCGTCTGTTCCTATAACTACTATTTGTTGATTTCCTTCCCTTTACTGCTGGAAATCGATACTGAGTTCATTTCTCTCGCTGTCGGTTGGTCTCCTCTTATTTGCTTGATTCCCTCTAGGGTCTAGAATTTTAGCAGTTGTGTGACATGTTGATGGTACGCCATTCATCTCATGTAACCATGGTCTACCGAGGATTAGGTTGTAGCCCATGTCGCCGTCCACCACCTCAAATAAGGTGGTCTTCGTGACCCCTTAGGCGTTCGTGGGCAGCAAGATTTCCACTCGGGTTGTCACACTCGCCAAATTGAACCCGATGAGGATTTTTGTTGCCGGAATGATACTTCTGGTTAATTTGGCTTGCTCCAGCACTCTACATTGGATGATGTTGGATGAACTTCCTGGGTCAACCAAAACACGTTTAATCTTGAAATCTAGAACATTAATAGAAATTACCAGGCGGTTGTTGTGCGGCAGAAGGAGCCTATAGGCGTCTTCCTCCGTGAAGGTGATGTTGTCTTCGGTAACTTCCCGAAGTCTCTTGCTATGCGTCACTAATACCTTTGTTTTCTTGGCTGCCGAAAAATTTACACTGTTGATTTCATTCCCTCTGAAAATCATGTTGATAGTTAGCCGAGGAGGGTCTTCCCCTATCTTCGAGGGTTCTACGTTATCTCGGCTGCGGCCATAATTGTTCTTAGCTCGGTCGCTCAAGAACTCCCTGAGATGGTCGTTATTCAACAACACTGCCACCTCCCCGCGTAGATGTCGATAGTCCCTAGTTCTGTGACCATGAGTTCCATGATATTCACACCATAAGTTGGGATCTCTCTGGATGGGATTGGATCTGATTGGCCTCGGGAACCGTGTTTCCTTGATGTTTCTCATTGCCTATACCAGCTCTACTACGCTCATGTTGAACTTATAATCTGCAGCCTGGGATATGAGGAATCCCGGGCCCCCTGTACCCCTTTTTCTTGTAGCGACTTGTTGTTCTGACCGCAGTCAGTTCTTCTATCGGGAGTGACCTATCCGAGGACCGGAACCCTTTGTTGTCGCGTCCTTCAGCTCCCTCGTAAGGCAAGAATCGGCCTTTGGAAGATCGACGGTCTGCATCAAAGTCATCCTTGAACTTATCCCGAATCTTGTCTCGTTCTCGTCCCTTGGTTGATATCGGGAGGCCGAGCTAATCATCTTATATCCTTATCTTCGATTCATTGCGGTTATGGACATCCGTCGATGTGGTCACTTGAAACAAGAGCAGGCTTTCCTTCAATTTTCGGGAGGCATCGGAGCTTTTCGGGTTTAGACCGTTAGTGATTGCCTCCGTTGCCCACTCGTCTGGTACGGCCGGTAGCAACATTCTTTCTTTTTGGAATCCGATCACAAACTCCCGCAGCAATTCGGACTCTCCTTGTGCGATTTTGAATATGTCCGCCTTCTGGACTTGGACCTTCCGGCCCTAGCATGGGCCTTAATGAAAGAATCTACGAGCATTTTAAAAGAATATATCGAGTGCTCGAGTAGGAGTGAATACCATGTCAGTGCCCCTTTCGTGAGGGTTTTCCCAAATTTCTTTAGCAGAATCGACTCAATATCATGTTGGGCCAAGTCGTTTCCTTTCACTACCGTTATATAGGTTGTGATGTGCTCTTGAGGATCTGAAGTCTCATCGTACTTTGGTATGTCCGGCATTTTGAACCGTTTCCAATCAATTCTAGTGTTGCGGTCAGCTCGAACGGTAACTAGGTATACCTCTTCGAATTCGGGCCCTTCAAAACTGGTGATGTGCCCGGAATATTCTTCATTAAATGTCATCTGGTGACAAACATTCGTTTTACTTATGTTGACTATGCTTCTTTCGCGATCTATCCGACACCAACTGCAGTTGTTGCCCCCGGTCTCGGTTCTTACTCTACTTATCTTCTATCTGTATTCCACGTGTCACGCAATTATTCGATCATTTACCGTAAACAAATTTTATCCTATACAAAAATATTCCTAAAATATTATACTACTTGAACACACAATCCAGAGAAATTTAAAATGATGCGGACTAGAAAAATTTTAGAGAAAATCTCATTTTATGCCTATTAAATTCAAACTGTTTACCCTTAAATACCCATATCTAAATTATTTAGTTTTCCTACCTATGCAATCAATACTATTTACCCGCCCACATGGTTTCTTGATATCGGATCCAAGTCACATTATCAAATCGATCCAGCACTGCAAGAATCGATTGGGGGTTTGAACACGCAAAGGGCATTACTACTCCATTGGTCTCCATTGGTAAGTGGTAACTTTTCAGTAACTTTTGCAGCATTAACACGCAAAGGGCATTACTACTCCATTGGTCTCCAATTAAATGTAGCTAATATTGTTCTTTGATATGTAGATTGTACCTTTGATGTTGGTTTTTGGAGATTTATTGTACAAAAATTTAAATCCACCATTGACGGACCTTGAAGCTTGAAACTCATAACTTGATTTGTTTGAATTTTTAATTGTTTTGATCCGATCCTGTATGGGTTAGTTTGGAAAGTTGATTGGAGGTTGTAGGTAAAGTTTTAGTCAATTTGGTGGAGATTTTGTAGTAAATTTTAGAAATTTGGGTTGAAATATAGTTGAACCAGAGAAGAAGACGAATTTGTATTGTATACCCAAATAGTATACAAATATACCATTTTAGTATACAATTCATTCCAACTATATGCCCTATTAGTATAGCTATATACTATATTGGTATCATATGCTAGTGAATTATTTTTTGGTTTATTAGCTGCATTTAATTGGTACAATATTGATTTTCTTTTAATATAGTAATACAGTACAATATCTTGAAATACCTATTATATTAATATTGTGGTACACTATTTTTTATTTTTCTCTTTATGCATGTGTGTTATGTAATAGTAGTATAGTCATATAGTTGTCGGGAATTAGCTAGTAAAACCGTATACCATGTTGGTATAGTTATATGCCATATTGGTATCATATGGTAGTTTGAACATTGTTTTGGTTGTTTTAGCTGCATTTTAAGTGAATTCTATTATGAAATTATTTATATCAACATGAGTTGCTATAATGCTGGAATTTTTGTGTGCCGATGGACACAAATTATGTGCATTAATAGTTTTTATAGTTATAGGCAATTATTGGAACGACCCCATACAACTATATACCCTCTTAGAATACGAAATGAGCAAGTTGTTTTGCGAATATTTAGCTTGCAATACGAGCATGTAATTTTCTCATACTTTTATTGCGTCTTTTAATGTTTTGGTAGAGTAGTATAGTCGCAAATAGTTGTAGCAATATTCTAGAGAAATCATATGCTCTGTTGGTATACATATATACCATATTGGTATCACATGGTACTAGAAGTCTTTTTGCTACTTATACTTTTATTGTATTTTTTAATATTTTATTATCATTTTTATTCTAACTAGTATATATGGAGATTTGGTTGTCGTAGATTATTTTTCTTGCTCTATAACCGGTGTATTTACTGTTAATGGTAGAGTGTGTATTGATATTTATAGGGAAGAGATCAAGGTTTGCATGGCAACACGTGTTGATTCTTAGAAATCTGAAATTATAATTTATTGTGGCTCAACAGCAGTCAATGTGATATTCAGTGTATTAGATCAAGTGACAACTGATATTATTTCAGTTTAATAATTGAATTTAAAAAATGAGAAAGAAAAAAAACAAAAGGTATATTGTACTAGTTATATTAAAAAAGGTGAACAAATATTTACTATGTCAATTATTTTTCTTATTGTATAAAAAAAGAATAATAAAAAATAGTGAAAACGGTAAATGAAATTAGATTATGAAGAGAAAAAGAATATTAAAAAAAAAGAAGTTGAATGAAATTAGAAAAGGAAAAAAGAAAAAAATGAGAAAAAATTCCCTACAAAAACTACTATGGGTAGGAAATGTAATTAGTTTATGGGTAGAAAAACAAATGGGTAGACAAGGGTAAATAGTTTTGTTTTTGTGGGTAACTGTGTCTAGGGGTGTTCACGGTTCGGTTTGGTCGGTTTTTGATTAAAACCAAAACCAAACCAATTTAATCGGTTTTTAAAATTTTAAAACCAAAACCAAACCAAATTAAATACAAACCATCGGTTTGATTGTTGTTGGTTTGGTTCGGTTTGGTTCAGTTTTTTGGTTCTTAGTAAGCTAATGATAAGTCGATAATATTAAAATAACACTAAGACAACAATCTGAAAATAATTTGCCACAATTTATGCTTTTTATATATTTCTTTGAGAACTGAAAGTTTATTTACATGTTTATATGAAAAGAATGAACAAAAAACAAACTATAAGGTTGCTTCTCAAGCTTTAGCCATTGTTGTCTTGCATTTGAATGTGCTTTCTTTACTCTTGTGGTTGATTTTTTTTACCTCTTCTTTTAGGCAAAGTAGTGCGCGAGTTTAAGAATTAGAGTCTATTAATGAAAAGAAAATTGGTCGAATCCTATTGTTTTGGGCTTAGGCAATCTTTTAAGATATAACAGGATAAACCAAAATTCAAAATAACAATTAAAATTATTAACAAAAAGATTTTATATTGTATATAAATAATTATTAAATTTTGTATATAATTAATTGGTTTGGTTCGGTTTATTTTTCGGTTTTTTAAAAAATAGAACCAAAACCAAACCAAATATTATTGGTTTTTAAAATTTAAAACCAAAACCAATCCAAATCAAAAAAAATATCGGTTTACATAATCGGTTTGGTTCGGTTTTCGGTTTGGATCGGTTTTCCGTCAAACCGTGAACACCCCTAACTGTGTCAAAACCCCAAAAATTTAAAGGGCTAGATAGGTAAAGAACTAAAACAACAAGTTTTTGGTCGTGCATGTTTGAGAGATTCTAATAAGAAGAATAGCTCTCCAATTCATGAAACTCCAGAAACTGTCACTCCAGCAACAAGTTTATGGTGGAGCGGTAAGTACTCCTTGATTCTTAACCAGAGGTCTCAGGAGTCCCCGGTATGAAGTTACCTTTGTTAGGGAGCACTTTACCCCCAATGTGGGACTACCTGGTGCGATCCGGATACATACAGGCCCCAATGCATATACTAACACCGGATTGGGGAAAAAAATAAGCAATTGGTCCTAGGTAGCACGGCGTCAATCTTCTTTGTTTCACACTCTGAAACACCGGGAGATAATCCAGTAGCTTGTAGTTAAGAAATGTGTTAATCTTAGTTAAGAGTTGTACTTGAGTTAAACAAAACAGAACTTTCAGTTCAGCTACTGATGCTGTGGTATTACACACTAAAGGTCCTGCTATTCAACTCTGGGCAGCATCATGTATACTCTAGGTTTTGTTTCTACACCATCTTTCTCGTCACACTTCAACTTGGAATTGAGATGTAGCATGAAACAGAGAATATTTTCAAGTCAAGCACAAGACTCGTGGAACACAAAAATTGATCGATTTTGTCTCTCGTCACAAGTCTTTAGAAACAGAAAACATCAAGATAAATGATATGCTCGGGAAGAAATGAAACTCAATCACTGCCTAATCAAATTTCACATATATACAATACTGCAAGTTTTCATACTGTCAAAAGTTTGTGGCACCAAAATCAATTGAGAGCATTTACAGACGGACCCAAAAACAAAACTATCAGCTCTCAACTTATTTCAAATAAATGTGCAAGAGCCACATTTTGCACATTAAAGCAAAATCAGAACTTTCCCCTCTACGAATCGCTAATTATACTCCAAAAATTTTGTTTCTATATACTGTGTTGAGCTGTCGACTTCGTATACTGCTCAGTAAGGAAGATTTAAGCCATAGCAGCCATGCGAGCGTTTTGGCAGTCGAAGCCCTCTATTCTATTTGGTGATTGAGTTTGCCCAAGTCTTGCCCTTGAACACCTTCCTTTACAACTTGATGATGGAGAAGATAAAGCTGAAGTAGATGTACATGGTGATGATGAAAAACGGGGTTGCTTTTCATTTGTAAAATGAACATCATGGATTAACGGATTCATAGCCCTGCAAGGCGGCGAACCAGAGAAGAAAGGAGGGGATGATGACAAATCAGATGTGTATTGTGCTGCAGCCACACCATCCTGTTAGACCATGAAGATCATTTTAAAAAATGGCAGGTTGAATCAGTGGCACATCTATATCTATATATATATTAAAGGAATAAAGTTTGCATTGTGGTTAAGCCAAGTGGCTAGCTATTAAGAAGCCACTTGGCAATTTTAGAACAAAGAGATGATTAATTAATGAAATCTATATCTATATATTATTAAAAGGAGAGGAAAAAGCCCTCTCCTTAAGCCAAGTGGCAGCCTAAAAAGATGCCACATGGCATAATTGGTTACTAATTAGTTATTTAGTTTATAATTAGTTATTGGTTACTTATTTTTGAATTTAAATACATATCAAAAAAGAAAATAATACAATACAATAAAAAACTACCATATATATTAATTGGTTACTTTATTTGAATTAATAAATATAGATATCTTATAATTAAATATAATAAAAAAACGAAAAATAAATATATATAAAATAACTACCCATTCAAATTGGGTGGGAGTAGTTTCAAGTTTGAGTTTTTAAATTATTTTAAAATAAAAACGAAATTAAAAAAAAATAATGAATTACCAATTCAAATTGGGGAGTAGTTTCAAATTGGAGTTTTAAAATTATTTTAAAATAAAAAAATGAAAAATCTATTTATATATAATATACATATAAAAAACGAAAATAATAAACTAAAATAAAAAACTAACATATATATATATATATATATTAATTGGTTACTTTATTTGGATTTAATAAAAAAATGAAAAATCTATTTATATATAATATACATATATAATATAGTTTTGTATTGTCGTTTTCCCTTGTATAGCGGGGAAATGCAAAAGGAAAAAAAAAAAAAAAAGAAGAAGAAGATTTTACTAAGGAATCTAGTTGAAGCCGTACGGTGATATTTTCTACAGTTTGCTGATGCTTATAACCACAAAGTACAAGGAAAACGGTAGGGTGGATGTGTCGT